CTCCCCTCTGAACAGCTCCAACCCGACCGCCACCACTGCCTCCACCACCACTCCCACTGCCGCCACCACCGCCACCACTACTCCTACCGCTGCCACCACCGCCGCCACCACTCCCACCGCCACCTCCGCCACCTCCACCGCCTCCACCGCCTCCACCACCAAAACCCCCTCTGCCACCTCTAACAATCTTGCCTCCCTTGCCCTTGCCGCTGCGGCGCTTCCCACTAGGAGCAGAGGCAGCCCCGACCTCCTCGGTACCAAGGATGTCAACAGCAGCAGCAGAAGCGTAGGAGGGGGCAAGGGGGGAGGGGGGACACCCCTCAAAGAAGGGTGTGCGAGGAGTGACACGAGCAGCACCTACAGTGACTATGCTAGTCTCAGCTGCAAGGAGGTGCTTCTCGAGCAGGTCTACAGTGAGGTCTGTGGGGTCAAGTGCGAGAAAGTGGTCCCTGACTGCGCGAAGAGAGTCAGGGAGGCGGGTGACTATGAAGTAGAGATTGATGTACATCGGGGGCAGGTTCTTGTCTAAGAACTCGGTTTTGAGGGCATTGGGTAGCGAGTGTCGCTAGTGCAAAGGTGGGTGATGAGGTCCTCGACTGTGGCAAAGGCTGACAGCTCGGGAAAAAGGCAGGGCAGTATAAGGCGGCCGAGAGCAGCAGTGGCAGGGGAGGAGTAACGAATGACTACAGCGTCGTATAGGGCTTTAGCAGTCTTGTGCTGGTCAAATTGAGCGCGTTCGGCTAACGGTAAGTGGTTGCGAACGGCTAGGCGAGCAGCAGCGTCACGGGTAGGTCACTGTAAGCGAGTCGCACTGTCAGCTGTGGCGGGAGGTGCGAGAGAGGCTCCAGACGTGAGGTCAAACAACGAAACGCCGTTTCTAGAATCCCTCAGTAGGTACAGCTGTAAGCCATCGAGCCACGTATCGAACTGGATCGGACGGCCCTCAGGATCGAATGTGAGAACGCTGATAGTAGCCATAGCGGGCAGAGCAGGGTGGCGTGTGACAAGCAGGGCAGCACGCAAGCAAGGACGGCGCGATGGGCAGGGCAGCGCGCAAGCGCTAGGGAAGCGTGCAGGGCAGGGCGGGGCGGCGCACAGCTAGGGCAGGGCGGCGCAACTGGGAGGGCAGGGCGGCGGCCAGCAGGGCGGCGCGCAGGCAGCGCAGGGCAGGGTGGCGGCCAGCAGGGCGGCACGCGGACAGGGCAGGGCAGGGCGGCGGCCAGCAGGGCGGCGCGCGAGCAGGGCAGGGTAGGGCGGCGGCCAGCAGGGCGGCGCGCGGGCAGGGCAGGGCGGTGCGGCGGCTAGCAGGGCGGCGCACAGGCAGGGCAGGGCGGCGCAGCGGCCAGCAGGGTGGCGCGCGGGCAGGGAAGGGCGGCGAGGTGCTAGCAGGGCAGCGCGACGGGATGTGGAGGGCGGGCGCGACCAGCAGGGCGGTGCGACGGGCAGGGCAGGGCGGTGCGGCGCTAGCAGGGCGGCACAACGGGCAGGGTAACGCGCTACGTACAGCGAACTATACGATGGGCCCTAAAAAAACCCGGTCCTGGAACAGGACCTGCTCTCAAACCAGGTCAAAGTACTGAACGGGAATGATTGCATCGAGAAGAAAGTTGGTACAAGTACTAACCCTAATTGGGTTGTCCCCCTTATGGGTTGTCCCACTATAGTCTACACAATATAAACATTATAACAGTTTGACACTCCAGCACCTCCAAGACTAGTAGCTCCAGCACCTCCAGCTCCAATGCCTCCAGTGGCAGGGGCTCCAGCTCCTGCAGCGCCACTCCTAAGGCGTGTGCACCGAGCAAATTACTCGCGCAGCTGCCGCGGTGAGAGAGGCTCCCGCCGGCGAGACTATCGTGGCGAGGCACCTGCAGGACCTCCGGCAGACGCAGTACCCCTAGGCTCAGCACCCCCAGACTCCGCACCCTCAGACTCAGCACCCGCAGGCTCCGCACCCTCAGTCTCAGCACCCCCATGCTCCGCACTCGTAGGCTCAGCACCCCCAGGCTCCGCACCCGCAGGCTCAGCACACCCAGACGCAACACCCCTAGCAGCACCACCCCCAGCAGCACCAGAGTCTACAGTGACCTCGACAGGCTCAGCCACGGGGAGTGGGTCTACCTGAGACACACCTGAGGGAGCGGGACCTTGAGGGGGGAGGGGGTCTATCGGAGGGGGACCTAGAGCGAGGAAGAGCGGCGGGGGGGGTGGGGGGGGGAGAGGGGCAGTGCGGTAGGGGAAGAGACAGTAAAAGGGAACCGACTCGTCAAACGTGACGTCCTGAGAGGGCAGGACATGGCGCGAGGTGGGGTGGTAAAACTGCCAGCCAGGCGCGTCAGGGGGAAAGCCAAGGAAGACGCAGTTAATGGCGCGGGAGGAGAGCTTGTCCGCGGAAGTATCGCGGACAAAGGCACGAGAGCACCAGACCCAGAACACCGACGCATCGCCAACCTTCCCCGTCCAACGCAGTGTAGGCGAGGTCTCCGGCAAGGAGACATGGGGCCAGAGGTTGAGCTGATGCGCAGCGTACCGGACCGCAAAAGGCCGCAGAAAACGGGGAGCAAACGCATGGATCATGGAGGTACGAGCCACCTCCATGACTAAGCCAATGCGGCGCTCAACCTCATTTTGTTGCGGGGAGGCCGGAAGCGTGAACGTCTGGAGGATGCCCTCCCCACGACAAAAGTCCCACAAGAGGTCGGAGGAGAACTCACCACCTCTGTCAGAGTGCAGACACATTACAGGAAGGTCCTCGCGGAACCGCTCGCGGAGCTGGAGACGGACCGCGCAGATCCAAGGGATCAAGACATCAGGGACCTCACCCTTGCTGTGCAAGGGGAAGACCGTGGTGTAACGCGTGTAGTCGTCAACAACCAGCACAAAGTAGCGCTCGCGGCCCTGTCCACTGACGCGGGCTGGGCCCCACACGTCCATGTGGAGAGTCTGCAGGGGAGCAGTCGTCGGGGGAAACGAGGAGGAGTGAGGAGCGGCGTGCTACCGCCCCTCGACACAAGGAAGGCAGGGCGGGGCAGGCGAGGGCGGGAGGGGAGGCAGAGACCTGGGAATACCAGAAATAAGGAGGCGGGAGTGCATGCCACGAAGGCGTGGCAGGGAGGGGTGACCAAGGCGGTGGTGCCAAAGGAGAGTCTAGTGCGACAGGAGGCGACACGAACAGGGGGCGGCTACCTAACCTGACGCGGACACCTGACCAGAAGTAGCTACCTGAGCAGGCTCAGTGGTCAGTGTGTACAGACTCGACCCAGGCCGACGGGTGAACGTGGCCAGGTGACGGCCCGCCCGTGTACACGTGCAGATCGCCACACGCTGACCCCCAGTAGTGGTGGTAGTGACCATCGCATCCTGGAGGGCAGCGGTACTCACCACGTTCGTAGAGAACGAGGGTAGGTGAAGACCGGACAGTGAGCCAGACAGAACCGCCGGACACGGGAGAACAGTGGTGGAACGTGCAAGAACTGGGCCCCCTGAGGGGTCAGCGAGTCTAACTGGAACAGGTGCAGGGAGTGGAGTGAGTGTGGTACTGTCTCGAAAGAAATAGCGGGAAGCACCTGAGTCAAGCGTGAAGGTGTGCAAGGCCTCAGCAGGCGAAGTAGCAGGGAGAGCAGACTCACTAGCACCTAGAGCAGCAGCCTCTATACGAAGCTGCTGGGGCATAGGGGTCTCGCTCGGACGCTGTTGCTGCTGCCTCTGGCCACCGCCAGAACCTCCCCTCTGAACAGCTCCACCCCGACCGCCACCATTGCCGCCACCACCACTCCCATTGCCGCCACCACCGCCATCACTACTCCCACCGTTGCCACCACCGCCGCCAGCGAAGCCCCCATTCCCGCCACCACTCCCACCGCCACCTCCGCCACCTCCACCGCCTCCACCGCCTCCACCACCAAAACCCCCCCTGCCACCTCCAACACTCTTGCCTCCCTTGCCCTTGCCGCTGCGGCGGTTCCCACTAGGAGCAGAAGCAGCCCCGATCTCCTCAGTACCAAGGATGTCAACAACAGCAGCAGAAGTGTAGGAGGGGGCAAGGGGGGAGGGGGAATACCCCTCAAAGAAGGGTGTGCGAGGAGTGCCACGAGCAGCACTTACATCGACTATGCTAGTCTCAGCTGCAAGGAGGTGCTTCTCGAGTAGGTCGACAGTGAGGTCTGTTGGGTCAAGTGCGAGAAAGTGGTCCCTGACTGCGCGAAGAGAGTCAGGGAGGCGGGTGACTATGAAGTAGAGAGGGATGTACAACGGGGGCGGGTTCTTGTCTAGGAACTGGGTTTTGAGGGCAGTGCGGTAGCGAGTGTCACTAGTGCGAAGGTGGGTGATGAGGTCCTCGACTGTGGCAAAGGCTGACAGCTCGGGAAAAAGGTAGGGCAGTATAAGGCGGCCGAGAGCAGCAGTGGGAGGGGAGCGCGGTGGCCAGCAGGGTGGCACTCGGGTAGGGCAGGGCGGCGCGGCGGTCAGCAGGGCGGCGCGTGGGCAGGGCAGGGCGGTGCGGCAGGCGGCAGGGCGGCGCGCGGGCAGGGCAGGACGGCGCGCGGCCAGTAGGGCGGCGCGCTGGCAGAGCAGGGCGGCGCGGCAGGCGGCGGGGCGGCGCGGCAGGTGGCAGAGCGGCGCGCGGGCAGGGCAGGGCGGCGCGCAGCCAGCAGGGCAGCGCGACAGCCAGGGCAGGGCAGGGCCGTGCGACTGGTGGGGTAGGGCGCTGCGGGCAGCGAACTAATCGGTGGGCCTTAAAAAAAAAAAAACGGTCCTGGAACAGGACCTGCTCTGAAACCATGCCAGAAACTAGACGAGGGAATGATTGCATTGAGAAGAAAGTTGGTACAAGTACTAACCCTAATTAGGTTTTACCCTTTATGGGCTACCCCACTACAGCCTACACAATATAAACATTATACGGTAACAGTTTGACACAGGGCACTCTCATGTTGCCGGAGAGTAAAGCACACCAGGGCCATTGCCTCCTGCACCACCTGCAACACCGTTTAAAAGGGGTCTCACCCTGCAGCAGCTGAATGTACAGCCTTGTGTTGTGTGTTCACACTGGCACCAGCAACACCACCACCAGCAGCAGCAGCAGCAGCAGCAGCAGCAGCAGCAGCAGCAGCAGCAGCAGCAGCAGCAGTAATCTCACTTTCACTCGCCTCCCCAGCATCCACAAGGCGCCATGCAAGGGCGTGCAGAGCACTCTCATGCTGCCGGAGAGTAGAGGACGCCAGGGCCATTGCCTCCTGCACCACCTGCAGTACCCTCTGCTCGTGCGCCCCCACTCCTGCCATCTCCAGGCCTCTCCCAACCCTCCTCACTGCTGCTGCTTTTCCTGCCACTTCCCCTGCTCGAGCCGCTTCTCCTGCTGCTGCTGCTGCTCCATCCTCCATCCCTCCCCCCAGGCCCTCAGCCCCACCCCTCATCTCCAGGCGTTCAGGCCACGCTCTAAGGTCCTCCGGCCCGGCACCAAAGAGGTCAGGGAAGGCAGCAGAGGAGGGCACACGCCAGCCTGTGATGCGCGGCGTGTGGATGGCACTCTGCAGCAGCAGCTGCAGCAGCTGTTCTTGATGCTGTTGCTGTTGTTGTTGCTGGAACTCGGTTTCAGATTGACTGCTTGCTTGATCCTCTCCCTCCTGTGGTGCCTCTGCCTGTGTCGCCTCCCCCTGTGGTGCTGTGGGTGCAGCGCCCCACACCTCTGGAGCCCGGCAGATGAGCGCAAAGGCCGTGGCGAGCGCAGCAGCTGATGGGGTAGGCAAGGGGGGGAGATGTGAGGGAAAACGAGGGCAGACGTGAGCTTGAGGAGCTGATTTGAAATCAGCGGAAGAGCAGACGGAGGGAAAGGGGGGTGAGGGAAGAAGGGAAGGAGGAACAAGAAAGACAAGTTGAGGTGTTTAGGGAAACGGCTTTGCAAGAGCAAAGGGGAGAAAAGCGGGAACACAAAGGAAGGGGGGAAAGGGGGGACCAAGATGGAACACATACCATTTGCAAGATCATCTGAGAATGAGTACCAGCCGTCGGATCGAGTGAAGTAGTCAACTCGGCCAAACATTAGCTCCTCTGCTGCCTGGGGGGGCGAGAAGGAGGGAGAGGAGAAAAGGAGACACACTGTAGAGTGCTGAAGCTTGAAGAGGTGAGAGGAAGAAACAAAATTGGACAAATTAAAGAGGAATGAAAGTCCAGGCAGACACACACGGGCACTGAGACGTCTTGAAACTCTGCTAGCGCATGCACCAAGCAACTCATGAAGCAAGAGACATGAGGCAAGGAAGAAACGGTAGAGTTGAGTTGTATGATTTTTTAGATGCCTCAAACGAGGCCAGGAAAAGAAAACAGAGTTGAGATGTCTCACCATGGCTTGGCATACTTCAACATCTCCCAGAAACATTCATAATCACCCCTCACCATGCCAGCTAGCCACACAGCCATGGCGTGAACCACCACTTGTCGCAACGGCATTGGCTCAATCTCCCCCCGCCACACGATGTCCGTCCCTCCCGCGTACTTGATTGGCCGGTAGGGCCCTCCCGGTACTGCTGATTGGTCCTCGTCCTCCAAGTACACCCCCTCCACCTGATTGGCCCATGGAGGTATGGGGTGGAATGGGATGAGGTGGGATGAGTCGGGATATGAATTGATGAAAATCTTCCTTCATAAGCCCACGCACTGCACCCTTGCAAGAAAGTTTAAAGCCCGGCACTGCACACTTGCAAATGGCTCCACAAGTGTGTGGCCGGCCCAATACCACACTGCAATTGGCCAACTCAACGACCCCTCAAGGGCATGCCCCGCCTCATGGTACGCCGCAAAGCACCAATGGCTGTCCATGCAGGGAAGGGCGGACTTGTGCGCGCGCACACTCACTCACTCACTCGTGCACTCACTCACTCACTCACTCAACCACTCACCCACCCACTCACTCTCTCACTCACCCCAGCAAGGGGACTCAGCGCCCCCACCAGCGTGTGCCCCGCCTCATGGTACGCTGCAAAGAAGCGATCACTGTCCATGCATGGAAGGGTGGAGTGGATACGTGCATACACTCTCACTCGCTCACTCACTCACTCACTCTCTTTCTCTTACGCACTTACTCGGTCACAATCGCACTCACCCGAGCAAGCGGGCTCAGCGCCCCCACAAGAGCATGCCCCGCCTCATGGTAAGCCGCAAAGTAGCGATTGCTGTCCATCCTGGGGAAGACGGTTCTTCGCACGCTACTGGTTCCTCCCACAGCCTCAAGCTGCCGCAGCTGCTGCTGCTGTTCGCCTAGCTGTTGCTGTCGTTTCAGACGCTGCTGCTGCTGACGGCGGTGGGGGGGAGTAGAGGGGGTTGACTGCACGTCCAGCAGCAGCCTGCCATGGCAGTGGTCTAATACTCGAAGCACCGAGCGCGCTGCTGCTGCCTTGAACTGCCACCGGAAGTGAAGGAGGGTGGAAGGAAAGGATGCAAGAGGATGGATGGGAGAGACAAAGGGGGGCAGAGCAAAGAAAAGGAGCAGAAGCAGAGGGAATCATGTAGGGAGGTGACTGCACGTTCAGAAGCAGGCAGCGGCGGTGGCAGTGGTGCATGGCTCGAAGAGGTAGAGGGGTTGCAAGAGCAGGGAGGGGAGCAAAGCAAAAGGAAGGGAAAGGCTGAGAGAGCAGAGGGAGGGGATTGTAGGTCCAGCAGAAGCCTGGCAGGCTAGGTCCTCTTCTTCCTCCTCTTCCTCTTCTTCTCCTCTCTCCTCCTCGCCTCTTTCTCCTCCTCTCCTCTTCCTCCTCCTCTCCTCTTCCTCAACTCGTCCTCCTCCTCTTCCTCCGCATCAACACACATGGGCTACTTTATAAATATAATGAAAGCACCACACAATCAATGTGTTACACACTCACCAGGTACACGTGCTGTTGCTGGTTCTCGTCCTGAGCCATAACACGCACCCAGGGGGGTCTCTGTTGCAGGGAAGCAAAGCGGGAGAGAGAAAGAGGATGGGAGAAATCGGGGAATGGAAGGGAGCGAGCAGGGGAGAGGCGGGGGTTTTCATCCTGATCCAGAACACGCACCCAGGGGGGATTCTGTTGCAGGATAGCACAGCACCCTGGGAGGGCAAAAGCGAATGGGGAGAGTAGAGGGATGGGAAGGAGAGGAAGAGACTTTTAGTAGAGAAAACATGCAATCATTGGAGACAGTGGAAAGGAGAGTGGGGGAGCGGGTGGAGATGGGAACAGGGGAGCGCAGTTCTTGGCTGGAGCCTGGTGTGTATGTGTGTGCACACCAGAAAATGTATGTGCGTATGTGCGTGTACATGCGATACAACAGAAAATGCCAACCACAACACAGAGAGAGCCCATGGTGGAGCTCCCGTAGACAGCGGTTAGGTGGTTCATGCCCCCTTGTGTGCTTGTTTGTACTCACCTTAGTAGGAAAGTCATGCTGTAATTGCTGGCTAATACCATACAACATACCATGACAGGTCAAGGACCGCTCGAGTAATGCAGGTCGGTTTTGAGAATTCTCAACCGCATACAACATACCATGACAGGGAGGGCTATCCCTGGCAGACAGGGGCACGTCTCCAGCTGCTCCACTCGCTCCCATCACATCTGGCAGGCATGTGCACCACACGTGCCACCATCCAAAGCACCCACCCTCTAGTAGGTGCAGCACACACATTGTAGTACCCACCATGACAGGTACGGCTATTCCCGGCAGGCAGGGGCACGTCTCCAACTGCTCTGCTCGCTCCCTCGGCATCTGCACCACACGTGCGTTGCACATCACGTGCAATCTCGGCCCGTTCGTAGGACGAAGAATGCCGTCCAGCTCCTTGCCCCGACTACTGCTGCTGCTGCTGCTGCTGCTGCTGCCACCTGTACTGCTGCTGCTGCTGCTGTTGCTGTCATCCCCATTACCCCCTCCTCTTCTACTCCGCACCGACTTACCAGCAGGAACAGCAGCCCGCTTTCCCCCCATCAACCCCCCCAACGCTCCCCCCAACGCTTCCCCCAATGCCCCCCCCAGTCCCCCAACCCCTTCCCCCACCTTCCCCCCCACAGCTCCAGCAGAAGCCGGAAGCTTCTCTGCAGGTTCCTCAGTGGTGAGGATGACATCATGCAGGGCCCCCAGTTGGGGAGCCGCCACTGCAGTGACGCTGCCGCCAGTTCTGTCCGTGAGTTTGCTGTCAGTGAGTTTGCTGTCAGTGAGTTTGCCGGCCATTTCCGCCACTAGATCCAAACTCACGCCGCCCAGCAGCTTCTCCGTGACAGGCGAGCAGTCCCGAGTGCGGTGAATCAGCCGAATCAGTGGATACTGCACAAAATCGTATCTCTTCTTGGCAGCACCACTCCCATAATTTTCATGGCTCCCATCACTCCTCCCACCCCCATAACCCCTTCTGCTGCTCCCGTAAGCATCATTCATCCTCGTTCCCCCATGACCATTGCTGATCTTCCCACCACCGGTCCCTTCTCCTGCTCTGTGTTTCAGCTGCAGCCTCAGCTTCAGCGCCTGCTGCCTCTCCGCAGCAATCAGGTTGTCACTGTCTGATGTGCCATCTGCCGTTTCACCTGAGGAATCGCCTGAAGGGCCACCTGCGCCTGGAGCAGGCGTGTGGAACGCCAGTGGCATCTTGCGCAAGGAGGGGAGCAGGGGAGGTCGAGACAAGGGGGCGGGGGGGGAGTTGAGGGGAGCAGAGGGGATTGGTGGGGGCAGTGGTGGGGGGAGCAGGGGGAATTTGGGGAAACAGGGAGGGTTGAGGGGAGCAGAGGGGAACGAGGAGAGCAAGGGGGGAAAGAGGAGAGCAGGGGGGAAAGAGGAGAGCAGGGGGGAAAGAGGAGAGCAGGGGAGAAAGAGGAGAGCAGGGGGTAAAGAGGAGAGCAGGGGGGAAAGAGGAGAGCAGGGGGGAAAGAGGAGAGCAGGGGGGAAAGAGGAGAGCAGGGGGGAAAGAGGAGAGCAGGGGGGGAAGAGGAGAGCAGGGGGGAAAGAGGAGAGCAGGGGGGAAAGAGGAGAGCAGGGGGGGAAGAGGAGAGCAGGGGGGAAAGAGGAGAGAAGGGAAGGAACTGATTGAAGGGAAATGAGTTCGGTACTTGCGTGGGGCAGACAGAGTGTGTTTCAACCAAATGCCTACTTACCAGGTGCCTCACTATAAGCCAAAAGTCCTCGCAGTGCTGCACTGTAGCGAATTCGTGCTTCCTCCCATCTGGAAGCTCCTCAACCACCCTCCGCGCCAACCCTAATCCGCCATCCGCTTGTCCCCCTCTCCCTCCCCTTTTCCCCCCTCCCCTTTCCGACCCTGATCGCTCCCCTCCCCCTGCTGTCGCAGCCGCCTGCCATTCTCCCAGGCGACAGCGACGGCGACGGCTGCGACACAGCGGCTGCGACCTATCTAAAAAATGCGAGCACTGCGAACTCCATCCGAGAAACGACGGGTGACGCTTTCCGTCGTCGAGCAGCCGCCTCTCCGCCTTCGGCGCCGATCTTCGCGGTGGCGTCAATTCTTGGGTGCGCTGCGGCTCGACGAATTGCAAGGATATCTGGGACGTCTCAGGACGTGATTGTAACGGCGAGAGTGAGTGTAACGCCACGTAGGACCGTAGCGTGGTCGAATGCATCGGAATGCGATGTGATGCTATGAAGGGAGGTGAGTCCCCAGCCAGGAGTGCTTGAAGAGAGCAGATTATAAAAGGGCGAATCTTGACAGTTGTCGGGCCAGCGAAGAGAGGAAAGCTCAGATTCTGCTAACGATATAAGCACTCGTTCTGAAGAAGTTGAGATTAGGTGACTTGGTATGGCGAACCGCGATACAACTAGTGATGGAGTGTTGTGAACGGTTCAAGAGACTGATGTTCTTCTCTGATAATGTGGTTCTACCCCACTGCACCGCTCGAAGCCCCATCGAACCTTGTGACAATCTGACATCGTTGACTTTTGATCATAATCTAAGCATGTCGACGTTTTTGCCGCGACAGGAATGTAGACCTACGATCTCCTGCTGGAAGCACAGCATCATTGTATAGCGTATGCTTCCAGATGTTTGGCACGGCCAACTACTGGAGAGAACTGGCCTGATGGCGCTTCCGCCAGCCACTCCCCCAAGTCCCATCCTTAGGGCGTGTCCAGCGCGTACATTTTGGGAATATTAGTACCTTCACACGTTTCCCGGCTCCAAAAATCTCACTGTACCAAAAAACGAATATAAAGTGAGTCGAGTCCGAAGGATTGGGCCTTCCAGCGCGCGGACACAACCCTCTGCACACAAATTTCTACAGTTCGTGGAAAACGAGGTAACTGGTTGCCTCGTCTATCATCGCACAGAAATTCACGCACAAGCGAAAATTCCACGCTTGAACGAAAATTACTGTAGCGGGCAGGACGCAATGCTGTACCCTTGTTCGCGCGCACACCGATTCCAGTAACGTGTGTTAGACGATTCGTCGTACGCGCAGCGGGCGTGCCGTCTTGTGAACGGAAGCTGATCGTGTCCAACCTTTTTGTAAAATGCAGTGTTACAATAGGAAATGTGGTAACTGAATGGGTTTATGAACTGTAAATGTACGCGTTGGACACGCCCTTAGGACAAGAAAACAATCGGTACAGTACGGCATGGCATGGGCAGGGCATGGCCCTCTGGTTACTGTAGTTGGGTTGGGGGACCACAGGCCATGATGGTAGGGGCACCCGAAAAGGACAAACTGACTTGGTGGCACCACAAGATTCTAAGCGGTTGACAACCTGGCAATCACCCATTTGCTATTACCTGGACACTTGACGTCCACGGTTGACGGTGAAGCTGAAGAGTGTGGTCCAACAGTGCAGGGATCCAAAGGCTACGTCAGCGTTCTTGAGGACGCGTTGAGAGTGAGAATATCGCAGGATCGCGCGTGTATGTCGATCCGCAGATTCGATTGGGCGGTTCGTTTGGCGAAACGAAGCGCCCACGCAGCTGTAACGATCGCCCCTGCATGATGGGTTGGATGTTACAGAATCAAGATTTTGGTTCTGCCTGCGACATCATCTAAGAAAAAACCCCCTTCGCCCAACTACACCTGAGACGTTCGCAACCAACAGGGCAACCAGCTTGAAATTCCGCGAAATGCCAGAATCTTGCGCGTCTACGTTATCGCTATGCGAAATTTCAGCACTTCGCAGGCATCAGCATCAATCGTGCCTGTTGTGATCGGTTCGTGCACATCATCTGCGCATTGATGCTGCGGAAAGCTCTACAGCGATCAGTGATCAGTTGCATTCACTTAATGTGCACAAAAACTGGACAAAAACCTTACTGTAGCATAGTTCCACAGTGGAAAGCAGGGTAACTAATCCGCATACCGATCGCAAATGATGATCGATCATCTACTTAAACCGCGTCCTGACTGAGGTAGATGAGGGACATCCGTCCTGATATGGTTACGCTCTAAGACGAATGGTCGAGTACGGTGTAAGGTCGATATTTTTACGGGCCGTTTACCATTCGAGCTCGTCCTCGCCCTTGACATTGCTGCCTTCCACACTTCGCGGCAAGCATCAGAGATTTCCTTCAGTGAACGCGGTGTCCGTTCCGTCCCCTTGTTTCTTATCCACCTCGGTTCTTTCAGGTGCGTGAAGTTCCAGATCGTTCAAGAGCAATAACCGTAGATCCAAGTGGAAACTTGAGCCATACTGAATGACCATTATTAGGGGAGGAGCACTCAGACGCTGGCAATGCCTCAGAAATATGCCTGTTCAATTCAGTACGGTTTCTTCATGACGTCTAGTCTGCCTGGTCAATTCATTTTTCAGATTCTAGGAGCATTTCTGCTTGCACTCTCTTCCTCGCTCCGTTTCTTAGCACGGTCTCACTCTCCTTCCCCCCCCCCATTCTTGCTCTTGGTTGTCGCCATGAAGGCATTTAAGAAGCCAGCGTTCTTACAGCGATCATTGTCGAAAGGAAGCTATCTCGATGGGAAGAAGATCAAGAAACTGCTCAACGACGATAACGAGTTTAGAACCTTTCTGAACAAATACTTTGATCTTCTGGATGACGACAAGAGCGGGAAGCTCTCGCGCGCGGAGCTTAAACCCGCATTAGTGCGATTCGGGACGCTCCTAGGACTACCGCCAGCCGGAACGACAGCGGAAGGAGACGCATTAGTGGATCGATTGTTCACGACGCTAATGGCGGACAACCTAAATGAGGAAGTCGACCGAGAGTCGTTCATCACCATTTCCAAAGAGTTCTTAAAATCCGTCTCTCAGGAGCTCGAAAGTAAGCACCACCGGTCTCTGCTTCCCATTGCTTTCCACCATTCATCGCTATTTTCGGAGTGTTTCTTATATTTGATTCTGAGGCGCTTGTTGGTGAAACAGAACGAATGTGAGACAGAGCGAATGTGACTCAGGGCGAATGTGAGTCCGAGCGAATGTGAGTCAGAGCGAATGTGAGTCAGAGCGAATGCGAGGTAAAGAGAATATGAATCGAGCATTTATTGACTTCAGCACGACGACCGAATTAAGCGTTCTTGTATATTTCAGGAACACAATCAACGACGAGCATACGGTGACATGACGTATGCTGACATGACGTATGCTGACATGACGTATGCTGACATGACGTATGCTGACATGACGTATGTTGACATGGCGCGTGCCGTGCAATGGCGTACGGTGGCTGTCCCTATTGTGAATCGTCGTGCATCAGGAACAACATTTCACTATCTCTCTCACATTCCTCACAGCAGTCGACCTGAAATACATTTTCTTCGTGCAAAAATCTCTGATCGGGGCTTACAAAAGGTGAGTGTCGACGCCTTTGGAGACTCGTTCCAGGGATCGTCTCCCAGGGGTCGACTCCTCCCACCCCCTCTTCCCCTCTTCCCCTCCTCCCAGGGGGGCTCGCTTCGGAACGCAAGGAGCAGCTCAAGTGCCTGAGAGGCATTCATGAAACATGGATTCGGTCGGAAGGAGACGGCAGGCGACATTTTCAAGGAGAGCCACATGGGATTCACTTCGTGCTGCGTGCTCCGTGCTCCGTGATCCGTGCTCCTTGCTCCTGCTCCTTGCTCCTGTCGTCCCCTTTCTCCCGCATCTCCCCTCTCTGTACTCAGTCGAGCCAGACCCGCGGCGGTTGAGGTGTACCACAGCGGGGCGCTGAGGGAGGGATGCACGTGAAACAAGTAGGTTTTTGAGACGTCTCAAAAACCTACTCGTTTCATGCGGTTGAGGTGTACCACAGCGGGGCGCTGAGGGAAATAGCTGACAACCCACCACAGCCTTTCAAGGAACAATCAGGGACATCTTCAAGAGAATGATGAGGACTCAACCTTCCTCCCTCCTTCCCCATGTCCTCCCTTCCCCTGATTTTCCTCCCATCAGTCAAGCCAGTGGTGGAGGAGGTGTACGACAAAGCCAAGCAGTTCAAGGAATAATAAGCGGCATATTCAAGGAGTTCACCAAGGTCTTCATGAACCCTCCTCCCCATGTCCCCCATTCCCCCCCTCCCTCCTCGTCTCCTCCCTGTCAGCCAAACCCGTGGTGGTGGAGGTGTATGATGGGGGGGTGTTGAGAGAGCTGGCGGACAACCCGCAGCAGTTCAAGGAGATCGTGAGCGACATCTTCAGGGAGTTTGACGAGGACGGCAGCGGCACGCTCTCTCGCCTCGAGCTCAAGCCCGCCTTCGTCTCCCTCGGCCTCGTGCCGCCCTCAGGTGAGACAGGAGGGCCTTCTCTTGAGGCCACTCAAGTTTGACTCTCTTTTGAGTCGACTCACAACAAGCTCGCCCACACGTGAGACAGGGAAGGTCTTTTCGTGTTTCGTTATGAACGATTTTTTAGCTTCGCTGAGGCTCAAGCCCGCCTTCCTCTCCCTCAGGTGAGCTGAATTAACTAGTCGTGGGGCGCCTCAATAATGCAGCTGTCAGGCGGCGAGGATTTCTCTTGTGGTTCCTGTTGCTGCTGTGTTTGTTGTTGGTGTTACTGCGAGCTGCAGCTGAACGAGAGGGGAGAGAGGGGCGAAGGGGTGTTGATCGTTTCTCTCGCTACACTCGAGCTCCCTATCCCTGCCTCTCTCCCTTTCGCAGCCCATACCAAAGTAGACGCCCTTCTATGATGGTTAATCGAATCGAAATTTCTCCCACCTTTGACCTCCCTTCCCCTCTCTCCCTCCCAACAGCTCACATCGAAGTAGAAGCGCTGTTGTCCAGAGTGATCGGCAGGTACGGAGGCGGCTACCTGCAGGTGGACGAGGGGGAGTTCAAATCCCCCCACCTCCACCTTTGACCTCCCTTCCCCTCTCCCACACTCTCCTACCCCCTGCTCCCAACAGCCCACACCGAGGTAGACGCGCTGCTGTCCAGAGTGATAGGCAGGTACAGAGGCAGCGACCTGCAGGTGGACGAGGGGGAGTTCCACACACCCACCTTCCACTCTCATTCCCCTCTCTCACCCCTCACAGCCCACACGGAAGTGGACGCACTGCTGTCAAGAGTGATAGGCAAGTACGGCGGCAGCGACCTGCAAGTGGACGAGGGGGAGAGCCTGATCTCTTCCTACCTCGCCTGTCTGTCCCTCCCTCCCTCTCCCTCCCCGTCCCTTGCTGCCTCCCCACAGCCCACACGGAAGTGGACGCCCTGCTGTCCAGAGTGATTGGCAAGTACGGCGGCAGCGACCTGCAGGTGGACGAGGGGGAGTTCGAGCTGATGCTGGGAGACATGGTGAAGGAGCTCTCAGAGGAGCTGGCCTGCCGCCCCATTATATTGTCAGCTGAGAAGAAACCCGTCTTCACCGGCTCCTTCGTGCGCCAGGTGGGTCAATGGGGAAGCTCCTGGGTGGGTGGGTGGGTGGGTAAGTGAGTGGGTGGGTGTGTGTTGGGTGGGTGGGTGGTGGGTAGGTGGGTGGGTGTGTGAGTGCTGCGAGTTTGCGAAGGTTATGGAGACTCGGAACACTCCTGAAGGTCAGCATCAGTGAGGCTCTGCAGGGGACTGACCCATTGCTTGAAAATACAACAAAGTACCCCACAAAGACATCTGGATCGACTCAAGGCACACTAGAGGGTGTGGCTCAGCGCAAGGAGGCTCGGTAAGGAACTGATCCATCCAGTCCAGTCGTTGGAACGAACAAGAATGAACAATGAACACCACGATTTATGGCTAAGGAGACTCTATAAGGAACTAGCCCAGCCCAGCCCTAAACACGCAATCAACCCACGAGGACAACCCTCTTGCTCCATGTCCCCCATTCTCCCCTGCCCCATTCTCCCCTGCCCCATTCTCCCCTGCTCCCATCCTCCCCTGCCCTGCCCTGCTCCCATTCTCCCCTGCCCCATTCTCCCCTGCCCCATTCTCCCCTGCCCCATTCTCCCCTGCAGTCGCAAGCCAGCTGTTCTTGGAGTGGGACATCTTAAAACGGGGACGGCTCTCGCGCAAACGACCGAGGAGGACAACCTTCTCCGCCTCTCACTCCCTGTCCCCCACCCTCTCCCCTCCCGGCCCCATCCTCCCCTCCTCTGCCCCCATCCTCCCCTCCTCTGCCCCCGTCCTCCCCTCCTCTGCCCCCGTCCTCCCATACAGCTCACAGGCGATCGCAACAGTTTAGAATGCTCCATGTTCCCATCCTCTCCTGCTCTGCTCCCTTCATCTCTTTCTCCCCTCCCCCTCCCCATCCTCCCCTACAGCTCACGGGCGATAGCAACCGTTTCGACGCCGTGGCAAGCCAGCTGTTCATGGAGTGGGACATCCTCCACCGGGGCCGGCTCTCCCGCACAGGTGTTCCCAACCCAACAGCGAGGAACAGGATTGAATTTACAGACAGTTTAGAATGCTCCATGTTCCCATCCTCTCCTGCTCTGCTCCCTTCATCTCTTTCTCCCCTTCCCCTCCCCATCCTCTCCTGCAGCTCACAGGCGATCGCAACCGTTTCGACGCCGTGTCAAGCCAGCTGTTCATGGAGTGGGACATCCTACACTGGGGACAGCTCTCCCGCACGGGTGTTCCCAACCCAACAGCGGCGAACAGGATTGAATTCACAGACAGTTTAGAATGCTCCATGTTCCCATCCTCTCCTGCTCTGCTCCCTTCATCTCTTTCTCCCCTCCCCCTCCCCATCCTCCCCTACAGCTCACGGGCGATAGCAACCGTTTCGACGCCGTGGCAAGCCAGCTGTTCATGGAGTGGGACATCCTCCACCGGGGCCGGCTCTCCCGCACAGGTGTTCCCAACCCAACAGCGAGGAACAGGATTGAATTTACAGACAGTTTAGAATGCTCCATGTTCCCATCCTCTCCTGCTCTGCTCCCTTCATCTCTTTCTCCCCTCCCCCTCCCCGTCCTCCCCTACAGCTCACAGGCGATCGCAACCGCTTCGACGTTGTCGAGAGCCAGCTGTTCATGGAGTGGGTCATCCTAAAACGGGGATGGCTCTCCCATTCCCCCATCCTCTGCCCCCGTCCTCCCATACAGCTCACAGGCGATCGCAACCGTTTTGACGCCGTGGCAAGCCAGCTGTTCATGGAGTGGGACATCCTACACCGGGGCCGGCTCTCCCGCACCGAGATCATCCTGGGCTTTAAGAAGTGCGCGTCCTCCTTCGAGGTGCAGATGCTGACGCCAGGGGAGGCGGAGGAGCTGTGGGGAGTGTGCACGGGTGTTCCCAACAGTGGAAAAGCACAACAACTTCACAAGGACAGTCTTAACGCTCCCTTCCCTGTGCCTCATCCTCCCCTCTGCCCCCGTCCTCCCATACAGCTCACAGGCGATCGCAACCGTTTTGACGCCGTGGCAAGCCAGCTGTTCATGGAGTGGGACATCCTCCACCGGGGCCGGCTCTCGCGCACCGAGATCATCCTGGGCTTTAAGAAGTACGCGTCCTCCTTCGAGGTGCAGCTGCTGTCTCCCTCAGAGGCGGAGGAGCTGTGTGCGCGGGTGTTCAGCAAGGCAGACGAGGACCACAGTGGGTTTGTGGAGTTTGACGAGTTTGATGGCGTGCTCAAGGAGCTGCTCAATGGCATGGCAAAGAAGCTCGACCGTAACCCTGTGGTTACCACCTCAGGTGAGAGAGAAGGAGCTAGGGGTGCCTGGGTAACAGCGTGGCTATGTGATTGGTGGTGAGATAGAAAGTGGCGTGTGTGTGGGCTGTCTGGGAAGTGGGCTCGGGATCTCAGGTAAGAAGAGCTAAGCAGCAAAAGCTGGAGCAGCATCAGCATCAGCAGCAGAAGCACACTCCAGATTTCCCTTTTTTTTTAGTAGACTCTCATCATCTCTTCCAATCGCTCTCCGCCCTTTCTCTCACCACTCACACCCCTCCATCCATCCCATCTCCAGTCTCCTATTCTTCCCAGCAGCACTTTCTACATCCGGCTTTCTCCCCTCTTCTTCCCCCCTGCTTTTTCGCCCCCTCTCTCTTGCACTTATCCAGGCATCCCATCACCCGGCTCCTTCTCTACCGTCAGCAGTCCGTTCAGCAGATTTCCTCCTCTCATCGCTCCTGCTCTCTCCACTCTTCCCCCACGTTTCTCTCATGTCTCCCCCTCTCTCTTACTCACTCGCACTCTCATCCCACCATCCCACCACCAGACTCCTTCTCATCCACCAGGGGTGACTTCGGCTGCTTTTTCCTCTGCCTTTTCCTATAACTAGCTCCCTCTCCTTGTCATCCTGCCTTCCCTCTCATCCCGCCTTCCCACTTGTCGTACCATCCTACTACCAGACTCCTTCAAATCCAGCAGTGGTCTCTTCGGCTGGTTCTCAGGCAGCAGCACCAGCAGCAGCGCCTCTTCTAGCGGTCAGTGCTCTCCTCTAGTCTCTAGGTGACTTATGAGTCGACTCACAAGTCACTCGTCCAGCAGTGGTCTCTTCGGCTGGTTCTCAGGCAGCAGCACCAGCAGCAGCGCCTCTTCTAGCGGTCAGTGCTCTCCTCTAGTCTCTAGGTGACTTATGAGTCGACTCACAAGTCACTCGTCCAGCAGTGGTCTCTTCGGCTGGTTCTCAGGCAGCAGCACCAGCAGCAGCGCCTCTTCTAGTGGTCAGTGCTCTTCCTAGGCCTTGTTCTCGGTATCCCGTCTCTCGTTCTAAGTCCTCAACACTCAGTGCTGGCTCTCGTTTACAATTCGCGTATGTCCACCTTTTCTCCTCGCCTCTCAAGCACCCCCATTCGCCCTTGCTTCTCACACGTTGCATCTCCTACACAGCCTCCCCTCTAACACGTAGCCCTTTTGCAATCCCCGTAGCACATCCCCGTTCACCATTTTACCGTTACTCCACGTTCCCTATCGCCCTTCCCTCTCACATGTCCTCCTGTGCAGTGCAGCCAAGGAACCCAAGCCAAAGGGCAATCAAAGTGGTGCCAACGCAGCATCTCCTCTCACATATCCACTTACACGTCCCCCTTTGCCCTTGCCTCCCACCTGTCCCCCTTCGCCCTTGCCTCTCACACGCCATCCCGTGCAGCCAAGGAGCCTGAGCCAGTTGTGCCGAAGCAACGATCAGTGGCCGATATCAAAGCAGCGCACAACTACAAATCGAAGCTCGTGAGTGCTAGGCACTTTCCGCACAGATTTGGCTTGACCGTGACATCCATTTTGACAGTGCTATCTCGCACCTTGTAGCATGTGTGTGTTTCCCTTGGGGTCTTCTTCCAGGTCAATGCCATCTTAATTTGTTGCTCCACGTTTTGCTCATGTCTCTGGCCTACTCCTCATCTCTCTCACCTGCTCCTCATGTCTCTCTCACCTTCCTCATATGTCTCACCTGTCCCACATGTGTCTCATGCAGCCACCTGCTGGCTCAGCAGGGGCTGCAGCAGCTGATGCAAGGAACAAGCTGGTGGAACGAGGAGAGAAGATCAGTGTACGTTGTTTCATGCCATCCATCCTATCGCATGCTATCCACTACATATGGGGTGCTCTACTTTTGTTTGCCTGCAGTTATTCCCTTGCTCTCTCTTCCAACTCCTCCCTCCGCCGCTTCTATTTTCTCTTGTCTACCGGCCGACATTCCCTTCACTTTCCAGCTCTCACTCACGTCTCTCATCCCATGTCAAATTCGCTCATGTCTTACTCCAATGCTTGCATGGCAGAAACTGAACGATATGGCAGATGAGCTGGAGGCGGATACGGCTGAGTTCAGTGACTTGGCAGCACAGCTTAAAAAGAAGATGGAGAAGAAGTGGTGGTGACTTGCCCGTCTTTGAAGATAAGCCTTATGTTTTTATGGTTGTGTTGCTCCTGGTTTGAAGAGGTGGGAAATGTTGCTTTGTTTAGGTGCCCTAAAATAGGGGGTCATTCATTATGGAACATGACACTTCCTAGATGTTGCACAACTCATTTATGGTGGTGAACTGTGCACCCTGATTTGTCACATTTCCCATCACTACTTCGTGTGAGAAAAGTCTACATATTGGGAAAATGTTACGAGTGCAATTGAGTGAGCGAGCGAGGATTGCACTATCGAGGCAAGAATACAATGAGCGAAGGATATATAGCGAAGCTACAGTGGTAACGGTAACATGTGGAAATTGGGGTGCGCGACGGGTCTGGCGCCGAGGTTGGGGATCGTCGAGGCGGAGACAGGCCCTCAGATTCACTTTAAGGGACGTTGATGCATCAGGGTCCCTGTGAACAAAACCCTGATTTTCAGTGTTCAAAAAAAAAACCCTGAATTTTCAGGGTTCCTAAAAAGCAAAGCCTGAATTTTCAAGCAAATGAAAACCTTGTATACATGGGTGGGCTTTACGAAACATGACAGCGGAGGGATTCGAACCGGGCCCTTACCCGTCTGTAGAAAATCACAAACCACTGAGACAGTTGATCCACTAAACCTTCATCTCTTACGTTCTCGTACGTAAAAAAACACAAAATGTTGGTTGACAGGAAGGATTCGGAATGTGCATTCAGTGTACACTTCGATAAAAGACTGAAAAATCAGTGTCAACTATGAAATAAAGGCTGAAAAATCAGTGTCACAAAATTCTCAACACTGAAAAATCAGTGTAGGTACAAAAAAATCCCTGAAAATCAGGAATTTCAGGAAAAAATTCCTGATATCGTAGGGCCTGGGCGGAGATCCGGAGTGCGGGTTACCAACCGAACCGTGAGGTTGGGTCGCATAGTGAACAGTGGCGGGAATGGTGTCGAGGCGAATGTCGTGAGTGGTAACGGATTATTGTGGGGTGCTGTTGGCGGGAACAGTGGCGTACGCGCTGAGTAGGGACGCGAAGTAAGGAAAAGGAAATTTCCTTACACTTACCCCCCCCCCCCCCCCCCCCCCCCCCTCCTTAAGGAGGCCTTTCTTTACGAAAGCGCGTGCACATCCCTGAAATTCCGGCCGCGCAGATACTCGGTGAGGACCGGGTGGTTTTCGGTTCTGTCCAGGGGAACCCAGTTGTCCTCGGTGGGCGTGCGGTCTTTCCAGCGGATCAGAAATTCGACCCTTCAAGCTCCCCGTGGGTCACGAACTCGGTGGCTTAGAATCTTCTCGGGCGTGATGACTGGTTCTGTCGGCGGTCGTGTCATGCTGGCTGGGCGGTTGCGGGCCAGTTGGCTGGTGGATGGGACGTAAGGGCGAAGCAAGCTGACGTGGAAGGACGGTTTGACGTACCAGTCAGCAAGGAGGAGGAGGTGGGCGGTGACAGGTGTGATCATGTGGCTGATGCGGAATGGCCCGCAATATCGGGGGCGGAGTTTCGGGGTTATGGGCAGGCGGAGGTTTTGAGTGTCGAGTAAAATTAGGTCGTCGGCAGGGCTGATTTTATCAGGGTAATTACCCTGATTTCAGGGTGATTTCAGGCTTTCCACTTCGTGGAGACTGAAATTTCAGAGTTATTGAATTTCTAGCCCTGATCCAATCAGAGTAATAGTTTAGCTATCCCTGATTTTGAGTACAGTGTAACAGACTAGGCTGTTAGTGGACCCTGACTTAACAGAGTATCGACTGTGTGGACCCTGACTTATCGAGAAGAAGTTTCTCGGAAGTTTCCTTCCGATGACCCCGCCTTGGATTGATCGCAGTGATCCCCCCACATGTGCGTAATCCCCCCCCCTTCCCGCTTTATCGAGACGAAGTTTCTTCGAACCTTCGTTCTGATCGAAACTTCGAGACTTTATGGAGAGTGGGGATATTTTCCCCGACTTATCGAAAAGAAGTTTCTCGGAAGTTTCCTTCCGATGACCCCGCCTTGGATTGATCGCAGTGATCCCCCGACATGTGCGTAATCCCCCCCCCTTCCCGCTTTATCGAGACGAAGTTTCTTCGAAACTTCGTTCTGATCGAAACTTCGAGACTTTATGGAGAGGGGATATTTTCCCCGGTAACAAAGCGCGCGTTACTACTCTGATGTTCAGTTCTCGACCCTGAACAATCAGTGTTAACTACTTTACAACCCTGAGCAATCAGGGTACTGCTTTTCTGGAAAATGTGCACCCATAATAGAGGGGGAAAATTTTCCCCGGAATCAGGGAAGCTTAAAGCGACGGTGCACATTTGCCACCCAAAACCCAGAACCCTGGCGAACTGTTACTGCGGATGGAAAGTGTCCGCACGAAATCCTGGTTTTCGCCAGCCAGCACTTTCGCGCTGGCAAGCCTGGTTCAAAAAAAAAACTTCTGAACCCAACACTGCCAAAAGTTGCCCGTCGCTTTAAAATGAAACGTCAGCCCTGGTCGTCGGGCTGGTAAGTGACAGGTCTGCGGTGGCGGTCGGCATTGCGCTTAGCGATAACGTTGGCATTTTTTATTGAGCAGAGAACATTTTTCAGGGTAGAGAAGGCAGCATGCTCTTTCTCCCCCCACGTAAAAGCGACCCCTTTCCGCAGTAAGTCTTGTCAGTGGGGCAGTTAAGCATGCCATGTCGGGGACGAACCGACGTACATAATTAACGAACCCTAAAAAACTCTGCAGCTCCGTGATGTTCGTCGAGGGGTTCCACGCTTTTAACGTGTCCAGCTTATTCGAGTCGATTTCGACTCCAGCCTCCGAAATAACGTGCCCCAAAAATTCTAACCTATCTTGGAAAAACCCGCACTTTGAACCCTTGGTCAGTAGTCTATGCTTGTCTAAAACCGTAAATACTGCTTCTAAGTCAGCTAAGTGCTGTTGCTTATCACGACTGTAGACGAGAATGTCGTCGAGGTAAATTATCACGCATTTATCTAAGAGTGGCCTAAACGCCTCGTTCATGGTCATATGAAATGTCGCCGGTGCGTTGGTCAGCCCGAAATGCATCACTGTGTACTCGAATGACCCATACCTAGTCCTTAATGCTGTCTTTGCACAGTCCGATGGTTCGACCCGAATCTGATGGTAACCTCATCGTAAATCAATCTTCGAAAAGACCCGTGCTGTTCACAGTTGATCTATCAATTCGTCGGCACGGGGGATGGGGTATCGCGATTTGACTGTAACACTGTTCAATGCTCTGTAGTCGATGCACATGCAAAAACCTCCGTCCTTTTTTGGTGTGAACAGGATTGGTGCGGCGAACGGCGACGAGCTTGGTCGGATGATTTTTTTCTCTAACAGGTAATCTAACTGCTTCCTCAGTTCGTTGAGCTCGAGCTGTGCCAGACTGAACTGTCGCTGTACAGTTGGCTGTGCCCCGGGTTCTAATTCTATTCGGTGATCATGTGCCCACTGAGGTGGCAGTCCTTCCGGTAGGTTGTCAGGAAAATTCCCCGGGTACCGTTTCAACAGTTCCTGTAGTTCGGGTGGTACTGCCGCCAGTAGTTTCTGAAAATCGCTCAATTGCTCTGCTTCTTCCACCACTGCGATATCCACCGCGTACACGTCAGCTACAGCGGCGACAGCCCGTTTCATTGTGATGGCGTTGACGTGGACCGTTGAAGGCTCAGGCGACTGCCAGCGAAGTAGCTCAACCCAGTTACCGCTACTTCGCACAGTGCAGCTACCCGTCGTCCAGTCGATTCGCGGGCTGTATCGTTGCAGAAAATCACGTCCTAGTAAATGTCGTGCCCATCCAATGTCGTCGCGAGCATTTCCTGTGTAAACCCGAAGTTTCCCCCGCAGCGGACTTTTACTCTCTCCACTTTTTCCCGTATGGCCAGCGGCGTTCCGTTGACTAAGCGTGCATCTATCTCCTGTAAACACCGGCTGAGTGCTAGTTGCAGTTTTCTTGCAGTCGTGGTATTAACTAAGTTGTGACTTGCGCCTCCGTCTATAAAAATCTTCACTGCTGCTCCCTGTATTTTCCCATGGATCAGTACTGGGCAATCCGTCGTTGTGCCCTCCTTATTCATCCGAGTCCGATCGATAGCGTGAATCGGTACTGTGACTCGGTGAGGGTCGGTGAGGTTGGGCGAGCAGGCAGTCTCGTCAGTAGTGGGCCCAACTTCTACTGACTGCTGGCGTTTCCCGGCCTCTGAGACTCTCGCCCCTGCTCTGTTCCGCGGCGCCTCAGCTCCTCTGGGCATTCGCTCTTGCGATGGCCCAGCCTATTGCAAGCAAAATAGCGCCCCTTAAACGATGCGGCAGCTGCATTCGTCGCAATGGCGTGTACGGTGGCGTGCTCGATTGGTCCCCGAGGACGTTGTCCGTACTAGGACCCCGGTCTCGGCCGTCGCAGAATGTCGATTTTCTCGGCGAGCGCGATGATCTCGTTAAAATTCGAGAGCCCACGTAGCATAATTTCGTGCGAGATGTCCGACTTCAGCCCTCCGACGTAACGGTCCACCCGCCCGGCTTCGTGCATGTAGCCGACTTGCTCGCATAATGCGACAAAAACCACTCGTGTAGTCTTGAACCGATCCGAGCTGCCGCTAAGTACGCAGTTTCTGACGCGCCGAAATCGAAGCCGCAATCGGCTCGAAACGCGCCCGAAGTCCTGCACACCACGCATCCCACGTGCTGTACTGGGCTATCTCGCAGAATGAACTCCAGGTGACGGCTGGGCCCATGGGCCCTTCCTCTTGCGACGGTGGCTCGTAGGCGCGTGGCATCGTCACGATGACTCGCCACCAGTCCATGGCGGGGCCCCTCAGCAGCGAAACAGTGTAGCAAATCTTCGCTGCGTCCGACTCGACGTAATTCGCGTCGAAAAAGACGTTCATCGTGAAGACCCACAATTGAACCGTTGGACCTCCACGTTGGCTCGGGTCGAAACAGGGCGGACGCTGCGGCTTGAGTGGCATTGGTGCTATGACGACATGCTCGCCACTTGTCGCTG